GAAAAAATTACATTCATACGCACATTTGTTTTTTTTACGCATTCATAATCACGACATACATTCATAAACTGCACATCGAATTTGGGACTTTGAGAGAACGATCAGCCGCATCACAACCTAGCAAGTCACTCCATTGATCGCCTACATTTCCATGGATTCTAAAGCCTTCTTTGACCAACTTTGATCTCTGCTCGGATTTGTACTTTATAGCATCTTTCCCCTTATCCTCCAGACTTCTGCTTCGGTTTATAGCGGTTTGGTTTAGTGATGGTTCAGTGATTTTAAGTTTTAGAAAGAGTTTGGGTTTAGCTTACTCAGCTTAAGATATGTCGTTCCCAACCGAAGTAACCGACGTTCTTGAGATTTGATTCGGTTAAATTTATGTGGTACTCGTCCCTGCTTCTAGTTAACAGAATGATAGTGAAACCAAGGTTCTTAACAGCGTTGTATAGTCTCAGGCTTGCATCAAAAGCTAGAGCTGCACTCAATCGCTGAAGGCCATTTCGTCGTAACAGACCTAAACTTCACCACATAAATCAAACCAAAAACCAATCGATATACATGATTCAATAGAACTGAGTATAAGATCTCCAATTTTTTGTTCGATATCCATAACGACGGTTCATTATAAAAGTTTTTTTTTTTTTAATAAACTGTCAATTTGAATCTGGGTAATGACACACAGTTACGATAATAATACAAACCACAAACTTATAAGTCATCATCTAATGTTATAGTATCGTTTATTTTGATAATCATTATACAATGGATAAGAATGAAGAGCGCATTTACCGATAACCATGAGCCTAGCAATAGTCCAGATTCGATAGAAGCGTATCATTGAATTCAAAGATCCATACGTCCTTAACGTCTCCAGAAAGATCCACGTTAGATGTCGCTATATTTTCAAAAAAATAAAGAAGTAACTCAGTGAAAATAAGAGAGTCTGGCGCCTGGATCTCAAGCGTGGCGATTCTACAGCCACCACCACCGCCAAATCTCTTTTCTCCGATTTCATCATCTCGCCTCTCCAGTCTCCGGTTTCGACCGGTACCGTGAGAGGGCTAACATCCCCTTTATATTTTTGTTGATTCTTCCGGTGGCTAAACCTCTTTGATCGGCTAGATTTGTTCTGTCTCTTCGGCGAGTGGTCGAAGATGCGCTACGTGTGGCGGCCATGTCTTGGTGTTAGGGTTTCTTCCTGCGGTGGCTTCTCGCTTGTTTCTGACGACTGTCACCTACCGAGTTCAGCTATTCCAGGCACCAGCCTCACGTTTGTCGATCTACATCGGGGATCCATCTCCTCCTTCGAGATGCCGGCGACGGAGATGCCATAACAGCGGTGGAGCGACCTCTGCTTTGGTGACTGGTATCTTCATCTCCCTTGAATTTTCTTTTCTACCAGGTTTCGTCTGGTGGATCCGCCGTCCCTTCTCTTCTCTCCGGTGGTCGGGCTCTTCTCTGACGGGGCTGTCGCTTCGAGCATGGCTGCTGTTGTCTTGATTTCGCCTATGTCCTCACCAGCTACTATGAGGTTGTCTTTCCAGGTTGATGACTGTTAAGATCTCCGGAAGCTCAAACGATTTCGTTATCTGTGCTAGAGCCTCGGTCTTTCTGTCATGTCTCATTTTGATTGGGATTCAGGCCAATGTTTCTGGTTAGATTTATCGACACTTATCCTCTTGGCATTGAGGCTCGATATTTTGGTTGCTTCTTCTATGGGTAGATCTGTTGCTGGACAACTGCAGAGCCTCCAGGATTGCGTCATTGTGGCGACTTGAGTGTGAGAAGATGTCTTGTTAAGCTTCTGATTACCTCTTCAGGCTGATGGAGATGTATCCTTGGTCTTGGTCCAGCTATCGGTGGTAGTTATTGACCGTCTCTTTGTGTATGCTTCTCCATTTATCTATTCGTGTTAGGTTAGTTTAGGGTATGTTGCTGCTTGTGTCTTATTCCTGTTGAGGCTTTGTCGATGTTGTCTTGCTTGCTTGCGTTCGAGCTGGTTTGATTTTGACTTCTTCACTAGCGAAGCTAGTATGACCATAGGTGTTTGATGGGTTTGTATGATTTTATCTTGCTCTGTATTACCGACTCTGAGAGGGACTTGGTAGGGTGAGCTATCACCGAACACTCTTTTGGTTCGCGAGGTTTCTTCTTGGGGTTAGCTCATGGAATTGTTTAACTACTCGCACTCACGTGACCGTGAAAGGAGTTCGTGATCGAGGGCTACGCGACGTTGCCGTTGACGACTCAATTTGGTACTTCCGTTGAAAGGCTTCTAGTGATAAAGGTTTAGTATCTTCGGGTTTTGTGTCTTTGCATCTCGAAACTCGTCGCTTCCCTCTGATTTAGGAAGAACAATCACAACGTTATCATTTCGTCTTGATCCATTAGTTTTTGTTAGTGTCGAGATGACGGACTTAAAACCATATCGTACTATGCTTTCATGTTTTTTTTTCTTGTCGTGGAACCATTACATAGGTTTAGAAACTCGCTTTGAAACTTAAATCGTTTTATTTTTAATAAATATTTACTTTTTAGCAAAAACATAATAATAATAACAAACTACGAAAAAAACCATCTTTTGAAAATGTCAAAGCGCCCAAAAATGGTCAAAATCATTCTTGTTCACTTTAAGAGCATCTTCAATGGGAGTTCTTCATGGGTGGGTTTCTAAGGAAGTTTTTCCTAATTAAAAAAAAAATTAAGAGAAAGAGTAGATACGGTTCTTCATGGAGAAACTCATCCCTTCGACACATGTCTTTATTTCATTGGTTCACCTTTTTTAATAACAAATCAAATACACAATAGTTTAGAATAATAATTAGATAGTTTGTAAATTGTTATTTTATTTATTTTTATGTTTTTATAAATCTTAAAATAAAATTATCTATCTATCATAAGTTTAAATTATATATTGAAATTTTTTTTACTTGATATTAACTAAAATTAATAAAATAATACAAAATTAGTAATATGAAATTACTCATTGTAATTTGATATGTTTTAAAAAAAAATAATGAAAGAGTTTTTAGAAATATATATGAAATAATTTTAAAATATATTATTTATATTAGTGAAAAACCCATTGAGTATCTTACCATTGGAGGTGAAGACCTAATATAAGTTTGTCAAATTAAAATATATTAAAATTATTGATATTATATTGCTTAGATACTCTATAGAATTCTTACCATTGGAGATGCTCTAAAAAAGAATTTCTTGTCATTAACTGAATTGCTTTCCCAAATCTTCAAGATCATTGTCTTATATGCAACTTATTTCCATACTGATCATTTATTTTTATGAATTCGGATATAATATAAAAGGGAAATCGGATCAGAAAATGTATATTCCAAAAATGACCCATGGTTAGAGGCTTAGATCCCTACCTAGACAAGAGGGGCCAAAACAAATTAAATCCCCTGCTCTATGCATCTCTTTTGTGTAGAAATGTTATGGTGAAGAATTGAGACACGATTTATTTATTTATGAGAGTTTACTACTACTTTTTTTTGTCGGCAGACCCAAAGATTGATGTATTTGTATTCTGACCAGAATTCGTTAGCGAAGACNAAAAATCTTAATATAAATATTTGCATAATTATAGTTTAAATGAGAAATCAATAAGACACTTTCTACTTAACTCATTTTACCATGTGCTCACTAATAAATATTAAGAAAAAACACACAAACCAAATTCTAATAAATTAAAAGCAAAAATGGAATTATTTTTAGAAAATCTACTGTGGCAACGGAAATAAACTACGATATAGTTTTGATAGTAGATGTCTAGATGTTCTAACTTTTAGTGTCTTTTAGTCAACGACCATGCTTGCTCCATATAAGGATTTCCACCATCGGAACTTTGGAAAAATGATGGAATTATAATTTGACCGGAAATACTCGGATGAAATATGCAAATCCGGTTAATAATTTCCCAAGATTGGAAAAATCACACACTTGGACGAAATCATTTCCCAAGTTTTGGTATATCAAAAAAATAATTTAGTTCAGTCATTATCAATTGATTTTTAAATAATGTCCGTTAGCTTGGAATTGAATGGTGTTAAAGCTTAGGTTGATATGTGTAGGTCATTCTTATGATATTAAAGTATGAACTACGAAAAAAATGTCACTTAGACTATAGCTTGATATCTTATAATATAAATGAGAGTATATGGACCTTTAGTTATACTTTCTAGCTTATTATGTAAAGTGACTGAAAATACACAGTGCAGACTTTTGGCTTTAGCTTATTATAGAAAGTGGCTTGGATTTTAGGCATACTTTTGGCTATTGATCTCCGATTTCTACAAAATCAGTTCTGATCTATGAATACTAGAAATTAGTCCTTGAATCGGGGTCTATTGGAAGGTTATGGATGGGTTATATGCCTTTTTCTCACCTTGATCATTCGTTGATTGGGACACGAGCAATAGATTAGGACATGATCCATCTCCATTCCTTCATGAAGCATAAGGTCGTGCGGTTTGTCTACATATCATACTCCCTTGGTTCAGTTTGGCTCTTGGTCATCGTCATACTCATTGGTTTGTTAGTGTGCTTAGCTTTAACTTGTATCTTATTTCCGAGTTTGTATGCTCCTCTTGTTTGAGTTTTGCTCCCCTCTTTTGGGCTTCATTCTTGTTGTACGCTCTTTTTTTTTGGTGAATACTTGTTGTACGCTCTTTTGTAAGATGCTTTCGATCAATGATAAAATCAAACCCTTTAGATGAAAAAAAAATACACAGTGCAGACTGTAGATATAAATTGAATATTGAAATAAATTTCAAAGATAATTTTTATTAATTATTTTTATTCTGAAGGTCATTAAGAACGAAAAAAAATATATAAATAACAATATAGAGTGACTCCATAATTCGATCATCCAATCATAAAGAAGGAAGAGATCTCTCAAATTCTTTATTCATATCAATTAAAAAAATCGTACACTTTATTATAAATTTATAATATATATAAAAAAAAAATTCGTCTCTCTAGCAATTATAGAGACAGCCACAGTTATCACGTCCAGGAACTTTAGGATCATCGAAACATTTTCCAACTCCATTATATCCCGAGTAGCAGCTTAAACGGCAGTCGGAAAGAATACATCCAGCAGTTGGCTCAATGGTAATTTGGCATCTCTTTGCGTCCGTTCTTTGAACCATTGAGAAAGCTACAAAAGAAACAAAACTTGTAAATAATTAGTTGCATGTGTGTATAGTTGTATATTTATGTGTAATCTTATCACTGGAAATGAATTAGTTTCAGAAGTTTAGAAATCGAAAATATGAAATTACCTGAGAAAACAAACATGAGAACAAGGAGATATGATAACTTGGCCATGTTCAGTATTACACAAGAAAACAAATTGCACAATAAGGAAAAGCTATATTCTTTGTCTGATTGTTTTTTTAAGTGTTCGTACAATGTTTATGCGTGTATATATACTGGTATTTAGGTACGGGGTGTTCTTTTTTCTTTGTTATCATATAAAGAAAGTATATAAACATAAATAAGAAAATACACAATAAAAAGGAAAGTGAATAAAATTTGACAATTGTAGGGTTTTCCGTGATTGTGGATCACTCGAAAACAAAGGCTTTTGAGTTATTTGTTTTGACTATTGACCACAAAATCATTAACTAATTATAGGAAGAAATAAATCAATGCTCCTAAATGATCGGTGTATTTCTTGAAAAAGAGATGTCTTCGTGTGTCAAAACTCAAAAGTTTGTGGGCGAAAATCTTTCAATTAGTAAAAGTTATCGAACAATGAACATGAAAAAAAAAAAATTCTTTCAATTGGTCCAAATCATTTAGTCGTAAAAATTATTTATACGGAAATTGGGTTTAATAACACTAAAAAAATATATAATTCAAAACCTAACCATTTATCCTAATTTTAGTGGATTTGAGTAAGCCACATAAGTTAGTTTGTGAATTTTTTTTTTTTTGGTTATTCATGCAATTCATCCAATTATTTAAAAGAAAATTGGCAAATATAACAAAAAAAAAAGAAAACATAATAACTATGCAAAACCCTTTATGTGGCACTAATATAGCCATTAATTTTAGAGTTTTTGATTAGTTTTTATGTTTTAATTTTTTTCTTCGTTATTAACCAAATTGATCCTTATTTAAATGTTTCCATCTTTCATTTATCTCTCGATCTTCTCTATATATATCTCTTTTATTTAACAATATCTCAAGATAACATGCTCGTATTCCAACCAACCCTATGCAAAACACAACTTAGCGCAAACCAAAAAATTATTTGAAATGATCAACGAGTTACTGTCATCACCGTGTTGAATTACAACGAATAGATAGAAATGATGGAAAGGTGTTTTTGTTAGAAGCAATTGTCGGATTCTCCATAGATATTGTTGGATAGTGACGAAAATGTCTTTTAGGGTTTTGAATTTATTGTGTCAACCTCTAATCCTATTTTTTCTTCAGAGTTAGGATTTTTGATTTTGGATTATGACTCCCTGATAATAGTAAACTTTCCATCAATATTATTTTAATATCAAAGTCCATCGTTGATGACATACCAACATTAGTAATATGCCATTAGTTATATCAATAATAGTGACAAACTACGAATACCAGAAACGATTTTCAAATTCTTTTTGTCTCCATTCGCTTCAAGAACAATGCTATCACCTCTCCTTTCTCGGATTTCACACTATGCTTAATCGAAGAAGGCAACCGTGATAAAAACTTTGTTGTACAACAGAGAGTGTGGATTTTCTGAATCCCCAATCAAGTCTGAGATTCAAATCGATGAACTAGAACAACTTAAGAAAATAGCAAAAAAACTTCAAGAAACAAATATATCATAAACTGCCAACAATATTATTAAAATCATTTATGGACCACCAAAACAGACGAAAATCATTCATGGACCAACTTTA